GAGTTATGGCCCGCTGTACCTGCTCTCCTGCAGATACCTCCAACACCCTGTATTGTGTGACAGTACTGTGATTTTGACAGTTTTCTGTACAAAAAAATGTCTGACGAGCTTCACATGTTTGCCTCACTCTTCAGCTTCATGTCAGGTTCTCCTACGTGTCTCATCAGTGAATGTAACTTTCTTTTCTGTAATGTCAATTTTTTGTATTATGTTAAACAAATATATAGTAATCTAATAAATATTTAATCTGGAAATATATAATAATATAAGTTTTATTTGAGTTCCAGCGTCAGGCTGCATTCCTGGGTACTTTACATCCCTGAGGTATTACTCTGTCCCAAAACATGACTGCAGTTTATTTTGAACTCAGTGAAGGGAAGTGAGTGTTGTACTACTGGGTGGTTTTAAATCAGCGATGAATTATAAGACTTCACACTTTCAGTCCCACAAAAAAAAAAAAAAAAAAACTTGTCCAAGCTGTGGGTTCGTCTGCAGATTATAAACACATCATTTATTCATGAATCATCTTGTAATAATTTCATAAATTACGGCCAACTTAAATGAAAAATATTAGTTTTATTGAAACGCGTTGTTTCCGTGTTGCTCTACCTTTACAGGTGAAGCACTTCAGGTGGAAGTGCTTGTTCTGCACCCGGAGGACCTCGCCCCGACATGGCTCCTTACACTTGTAGCAGTGAATCAGGGGCTTCTCTGTGGAGTGCTGGTGTGTGTCCTGTGTGTGAGCCACTGCCAGAGACAGACAAAGACAGAAGAAATAAATATGATCCTGATCTGCACTGTTGAAGACTTCATTTAGTCAGGGAGGAGAACATCATGGCAACAAGAGATGGAGACACTCTGCTCCCATTCTGTCAGGAAAAGACAAAGTTAAATAAAAAAAACGGGACAAAAGCAACTTGAGGTTCGTGGCCAGACAGGCTCTCAGGGTACAAACTAAATATAGAACGTCTTGATCAGTGGAGGACAGAAGAGAGCAGAACTTGGGAATCACAGATTTTGATTCAATTGAAACCAAGTTAAACAGTTTTTCTGATGAGCTGAGATGAAAAACGAGGGGCGACAATGTTTTTACCCTTTATGCATCGAGAAAGTAATCATGACAGGTAAATCTACAACTCTGTTCAAGATGGCCGCCGCYGAAAGCACAGCCAGCTGTACTGATACTGAGCTAAAATTTGATGTCWTCACCACGTACTATAACGGGGGGACAACACATTTTCCCCGAGGGCCACATGAGCGTTATGGTGGCCCTCAAACTTTCATGTTTCATGTTTAACTTTGACTAAACAGGAAATGTCACGTTTCTCGCCTCGTTGCTTTGAGCTCAGCTAACAAACACTAACCGAGCTCTACCTGGTGTTTCCTGCACGGAAACATCATGTTAACATGTGTACAACTGAATAAATGTGAAATAAATAAAACAGAAATATTATTAAAAGTGAAACTAAAAGAGTTTTACTCAGTGATGAGTTGGAAAGGCACCTCGCTGCAGCAAACAGTAAGGGGCGGGGTCGGGTCTGATGTTTCCAACTCATACCATATTTGGAAGTAGCTTTAAATGACCTCAGATTAACCCCCCCAAATTTAAAACCTCAGGTTAACCCTTAATGATTCATTTCTATCCACCCCCCTGACCTCAAACTCTAAAAGATAKCCCTAGAGGTTTAATGTCTCAGGTTAACCTGGTACAGGAAATAGCGCCCCTTTATTTCCGGAGTGCAATGACGACTTCCAAATATGGTATGGTCTGACACATCGGACCCAACCCCGCCCCTTACTGTTTGCTGCAGCYAGGTGTACTTGATGAGTTGTGCTAATTAGGAGCCATCTTGAATTTTTAACTCTCCTACTTTCCGACATGGAACTCCCACTGGAGAGGCGCTCCAGTTTAAATTTACGACTTATAAGTGGGGAGTTCCCACTTCACAGTACAACTAGGCTGCAGAAAGTAGCCTTCAAAAATGCAGTTAAATGTAGATTTTACACAGCCAGCTGCCAGCTACTTTTGAARGCTGTGCAGCTCCACCTAGTGGTGGGATATTGTAATTTGGCGGGTAAAATAAWCCACATGCATTATGGGAGARGTAGTTTATGATCAGTGCTGGCTTTAAAGCATCATACYTTTTTTTAAAGTCATTAATACATCTTTGACGCTCTCYGGGGTCACATAAAATGCTGTGGAGGGCCACATTTGGCCTGCGGGCCTTGAGTTTGACACGTGTACTATAAGCTTTGACTGATTGTGCAAAACCTTTGTTTGAAACCTTGGCTTTAACTAGTGAAGTCAGCTGCGTCTGTTAGCAAAATATGTCATGAGCCACTGGATGAATTTTAATGAAACTTAAAGAATTTATCATCGTATGTATTTTACAACGAATTAACTTTTTGAACTAAAACCATTTAAAATGGCCACTGCAGCTGATTCAACTTAGAAAACACAAAATGTTGATAATTTTGTCTATTTTGCAGATTTTATGCTTAATTTTAGGGTGGTAGTAGCTGAGAATCACTCACAATGATTGTACAATAACTCATATCATTTTTAAGAGTGTTTTTAAAAACAACCATAACAAAGTACAAAATCAAATAAAACACAAAAAATAAATATAAAAACTATTAAATGGTTAAAAAATGGGAAGGAAATAGAGATTAGTTAAAGACAAAAATGCTAAAACTATTTTAAACAAGACGATATTTGATGTTTGTTTATTAGAAAATCTTATTATTTCTGAAAAATATATAAAAAGTTTAGTGGCAGATATAATTACAACATCTATAAATTAAATAAATTATTATGATCACTATGATCTGCCTCATTATTACACCTAAAATTCATCATATTAACTAAGTTGCTTTTGATTTAATGAGGTATTTGTGAAGTATTTTATTGATATTCCTCTACAGGCGGTTTTACTATCTTTACAGCCTAAAAGGTTTAATGGTTTTTGACATAAACGCTACAGAACGGGACGTTATTACTGCAGCAGTGCCGCACTGCACACAAACCCAAAACCCACAGATTATTTCACATTCAGAAGATTCGGCCAGCAGAGCAGCTTCTGCCTCTTTTTTTGTCAAACAGGAAGCGGCACGCCGACGTGAAACATGAAAGAGTTTGAGCTCTTCCTGCTCTGCCATGAATCATTAGTCTGCAAAGCTAAAATAAGACACCAGCAAAGGCCCGGAAATAGCATCATGAACAATCGATGATCTTCCAAAGACAGACATCACCCCGGATTAGTGACGACTTGCCTGCATCCCACTTTTAAAGTTGCAGAGGCTTTCTTTCATKGCAGCGAAGGTTTGTTTCAACTCGTACGAGTGAAACAAAGCGAAACGAGATCAGCCGTGAGAAAGAGCGCAGGTAGAGAGGTGGGAAGGGAAGGTGTAAAGGTGAAAGGACACGTCTCTGTAGAGGCAGTGATTACTCGCAGCAGGACCGTGAGTCATCCTCGGGTGAACCAGGCTGCTGTGACACCGAACCGAATCGCAGCAGATCAGTGTGACATTGCACCTTTCTGAGAAAAAACACCACCATCTGGGTGGCTGCAGAAWTTTTTTAAATTAAATTAAAAATCCAGCATAAAAACAGTCGCTTACGTGGGTTTTCTCCCAAAAACTAAAAACATGGAGGTTACTGATTACTCTAAAGCACGTGTCAAACTCAAGGCCCGTGGGCAAAATGTGGTCCACTATGGCCTTTTATGTGGCCCGCTAGAATTTCAAAGATATATCAACGTCTTAAAATAAGCTGCTTTAAAAGACAGCACGTTTTGCAGGCTACTTTTGCTGCAGCCCATTTGTACCYGGAAATGGGAATTTCCCACTTWCCAGCWGTWCATTTTAACTGGWACCAGTGGGAATTCCCAGTCGGAAAATGGGAGAGTTCAGAAAACAGGAAGGCAGCGACTCGCCACAGCTCAACAGTGAGTAAAACTCTTTTAAAAGTATTTCTGTAGTATTTATTTCCTATTTAGTCAGTGGTACACGTTGTACTTTTCAGTGTTTATAAGAGGACGTGTTAAAACACGGTTTCTATGCAGGAAATACCAGGTAGAGCTCAGTTAGWGTTTGTCAGCGGGGCTCAGGAATGGAAGTTATTCACAACAATAACGCTCACATGGCCTAAATGAAAATGAGTTTGACGCCTCTGATCTAAAGTATGTAAGTAAAAGTGAATACTTGTTTGTCTCTATGTCTCTGTATGATGGACTGGGGACATGTCCATGCTGTCCCCTGCCTCTCTGACAAGGGCTGATAGAGACACCAGCTCCTCACCACCCAGAGAGGAGCAGCAGTTAAAGAAACTAGATGGATTTATTTGACTTGATTTATTTATTTAACAGGAAAAGATTATTAAAAATCAAGCCTGACTCAGCATAATCGCTGTTTTACAGCAGGTTCCTGTTCTGCAGCACATAAAACACTCAGAATTACAGCATCACAATCACATCATTATACACCATAGACACAAAGACAAACAAACATACCAAATTTCAGGAAGGCAGCATTTGCAAAATAGGACGTCTAAATATGAGCACAACAAAAAGTGTCCAGCAGATGGCAGACAAGATTCTTCTTAAAGGGCTGTAGTTTTGAAATGGACTTTATGTTTTGAGGAATGTCATTCCATGCTTTAGTATAAACATAGAAGAAAGACCTCTGGCCYTAACAGTTTTTAAAAGTTGGTAATATCAGTTGTCCTTTTGTAACAGATCTAGTTMAATGACCACTTCCAGAATTTGATTTGGGCAGCAATGCATAGAGAGATGGAACTCATTTTAGCTCTTTGCTTTTTTACATGATGTTAAAATAAATGTGTTTTGTTGTTTTAGATTTACAACAACTTGTAAAAATGTGAAAATAAAAAAGCTATTTCACAGAAAAGCTCAGTCCACAGCAGGCAAGAAACCAAATTTATGCCAGTGGTTGTAGTCCTCTGCTCACAATTCTTTTGTGATTTAACCAACTTTTCTATTTAAAAAAGCTAATTAAAGCAGCTTTGAATAACGTCAGGAATTTCCCTCACGACCCTTTTTGTCTTTGCCGTATTATTTTTAAATTTTCATGGAGCCACCAGGGGACAGCTCAGCATGAAACAGTTCAAACTGCTAATGTTGTGGAGCAAATTGACAAGAATCCAAGACAGATGTTTGGATCTGATGTGAGGAGGATTTAAGAGCTTTGGTTCAGATGGAGAGCTACAGGAAATGCAACGTCTGCACAAACTTCTCCACTAAAAAAAGAAAAAAAAAACAGAAAGGTATTCTGCATTTGTTTGCTTGAATATCTTTTTGGTCCAAAAACAATCAGAGCAAACYATAAACCAAAGACAAACTCACCTAACGCCCTGTAAATTACTTTGATTAATAACATTTTTAGTAGTATTCCATAATATTCCTAAGAATGTCTCTTTAATTACCTTTAATCTGGCTTGTTTTTTTTCAGTAAGTAAAACTCTGTATAACTGAGTTTGTCCTTTTTTTCTTTTCAYAATAAGTCTGTAACTATTCACTTTGTGTTTTTATTTTCATAAAGAGAAAAAGWTTTAATGTGTCTTTGATAGAGGTGTAGTGTTCTCCCTACATTCCATTCCACTGGGGAGCTTTAAAGCTTGTTTACTTTTGTTCTGAAGGACTTTGTTTGAAACCGGAAGTAACATGGCCGAAACCGGAAGTGGCTTTAAAAGAAGCAATAACTTCAGAAAACTTCCACATATACAGTAA